AGTACAGAGAAGTAAAGCTGGTTGTAACACAAAGTACCTGCTGTTTGATTTCCTTGCCTAAGGACACCAAGCTGAAAAATCTGGCTTGAGTGGCACTGCTACTGCCAGACTCGACTGGCATATGATCTGACTTCTTTTTACTTTTATAATATGCACAGGGTAAAATCTCTGTCCATGAAGCTCTTTGATAAGTGTTTTTATTGATCAGACTTTTTCGTGTACCAGCGTGGCATTGCATTTGTACAGTGTTATCACAGGGAAGAAACCCTGGCATTTAAAAATTGTACTTCTTCCTACTTTTTTAGTGAAGAGTTGACCCTGATACTGCAGTAGGGCCCCTGGCAGTAGAAAGTAACACCAGGGCTAGATGCCATTTACCTGCACTCGACTGAGCTATGGGAACAAACATATTTATGTCCCTCTTCTCTTGGACCAGATGTGCTTGTCTCTGCTTTTGGGAGTTTAACTCTCCCATTTTCAGCCTCCAGAAATGAAATGTGAACTCTCCTACCCACGTTTGGTATCCTTTTGTTTCCAGCTGTTGTTCACAGAGCTCACTAGAGGCGTCTCTGCTTCTCCCATCCTGTAAATGCTTTTGCTTTCATTAGTTCACATAATCACCTAGGAATGTGAGATACGATCACTGTCCTCAGTCTTTGTTGCATTATGCTTCTCAAACACTGTAAGCTGTAGAAACCTGCTGCCCTCTCACCTGTGTCTCAGTTACCACCCTATTCACTTGGGTGAAGCCCAGTGTGTGGCAGAGGCATGGTTGCTTGGCCACTCAGCAATTGAGTGGAAATCAAAAGTTAGCCAGTTGGAAGATATGCTTTCTGTTTCTCTTGTATCTTCCTCTTGTTTCTGTTCACAGTGTATTTCATAGCCTCACTCCAATCAGCAGCGTTTATGTCTGTGTTGTAATTTTGGTGGAGCCAGCGGATGGGAAAGCAGCCTAAAAGAGGTGCCAGATGGCAGATGTTTGGGTTTCAGTCTGTGCAAACTCCCACCGTCCTGGCTGGGAAAGGAGAGGAGGACTGGCAGACCTGTAGCTGTTGTGAATTTGTCCTTGCATTCTTGGCACAGATGAAGATTAGTCCCAAGAGAACCACTGCACTCACTGCTGGAAGCATGAGGATACATCCATGGATGCACACTCTATGCTGCTTGTCTGTGTGTGACGTGTGCTAAGACAGCTCTCACCCTCATGTTTTTCTATTGCAGTAAATTCTTCCTTAGTATTTCTTCTTATGAATTCAGGAATGATGTTCCACAGGCAGAACGTTGAAAAATAAAAATAAAGTACTGTAATCCTCCAGATAAGAAACCTCATAGCCACTCCACTCACAGCAACCATCTTAGTGGTAATTGAAGGGTTTCTTTCTGCTTACCTTCCTTGAAGTACCAAATTGTGTTAAAACTGAATTGTGGAAAGCCTAAATCAAAGGTGTTTTTCAGTACTGCCTTCACAAATTGTCAACTACAGATACAAGTCAACAGCATGCACAATTACCTTGACTTTTAACATGTGACCACTTAATCAATCAAGTGTAATGAACAACATTACAGCTGAAGACCAGCTATATTTGCTACTCCTCAGGTAAGCCTTGAAGAAGACTTTGAAGACCGTGTTGAAAGCCACTGAAACATGGAGATGAGGCACACATTTGGTGACACTGATTTGTGGGCAGTGGTGGTTAATGATTGCACTAGATGTTCTTAGAAGTCTTTCCCAACCATAATGATGCTATGATTCTGTGATATTCACTTCTAGACTACCACTGCCCGGAAACTGGTCATCACAATGCGCAGCCCGTTGTCTTGTTTCAGTTTTTGCTGGGAAAACAGACCACATTATTTTGAAGCAGAACATCATAATTTAAATGTAAAGAATGAAAGGAAAGCAGTGAGAGCACAGCGCATGATTTTTTGTTGTATATGAAGACAGAATAATTTTTGAGTCCTGCCAGTATGTCTGGTTGCTTTGTCATGAGTTTTTAAACGAGAAATGCTGAAAAACAGGTAGAAAGATGTTGGACAGCTTTGAGCTATAGTGAGATTGCTTACAGGTGAATATTACCATAAAAATTGTTCTCCTTCGAATTCCTCTTCCTACCCCTGGGCTTTTCCATAATATTCTCAATACTGCTATTTTGCCTGGAGTCCGGTGCAGATTGCTTTCATTTCCAGAAATGAATGAAAACTTATAGTTGTCATTAACTGAGTCTCCTGGTGCTCTGCCCCTGCTCTTCTGTAACATCAGTGCCATACATTGCACATGACAGAGCACATGCTTTCAACAGAAAAAAAAAGCACAAAAAGCCTTTTCAGCCTGGGTGGCCTTTCTGAGAGTGAAGGCAGCTTTTGTGGTAGTGGGACGGGACTTCTCCTGTTCGGAACTGTTTCCTAAATGATTACTGGTATAAACTCATAACATACATTTCGTGTAGGGATAAAGTGCGTGTTGTATTTTTTATTTTTTTTGTCTCAGCACGATAACCATTACATGCCAAGGTGAGAGTACAGAAATAAGTCTTTGTGCTCCTAGGATGGGGTTGTAAAAGTACCCTACCCATTCAACATAATTGGGCGCCTAATTGAGTACTTAAAAGTAATGTATATGCACATGTATGCCATTAAGTTATACTGGAAAGCATTCTGTTTGTAATTGTGTGTGCTCTGCTCCCTACAAATCAAAGTATAGTTGATTCTGTGATGATTTAGAACCTTTTTTACAACATTAATAATGCTAAAAAACAACCCATGAAGAACATGAGCCAGCCACGGAAAATACAAAGAACATACACCAGAAAAAGGGAAACTTGGAGACTTGAAAACAAGTAAATTATATCTGTCCAACTTTGTAATAGTAAATGCCCTGAGGTCAGAAACCATCAGAAACTGTTTCTGCCTGCTAATAAAAGCTAGGGAACAATGCAGCTCTTTGTATCAGAGCTGCCAGTTGACTATTTTGGTACCTTTATGTAGTAGATTTTCACATCCTAATCTCTCCTCAAAAGAAAATACAGTCGTGGGGAGAATTCTTTTGCTAATGAAACCAGGCATGGGGTGGTTTCGTTTCAGTAATGAGGAGAAGCTAAGGGATCTCACTTTGTGGGAAACGAGTGAATATGTTGATCAAAAGAGGATGAGCTTTTATTTAGCGCCCTGGGTGCAGGCATCAAAAAGCCCGTGGGAGTGTCTGCTGCCTCCAGGTTGTTAAGAAACTGTTTGCAGATGTGTTTGTTTAAATTATCTACATGAGAAGATTAAAATTTGGAAGAAAGGCGCTGTCACAGTATTGGAGATCCTCTGATCTCATCAGATCTGGAAGCTGGGTTGGTTTCTTGTGGCTCAGAGTGAAGGCCATTGCTAGACCCCACTGAATGCTGAAGTTGGTGAGCTCTTCATTTTTGTTTCAAAGCCTTTAGTAATTAACTGATACCCCAGAATGTTCCACATATATGGAGGCGTGTCAAGAGGAAAATGCCAGCTCTAGAAATGGGAAGGAAAGAAAGAAGGCGGGTTTTTGGAGCATTATATTGGAAGAGCATATGGGAATAATTCCATTTTGTCATTTTATTTTTTGTTCATGAGCTTTTTAGTATAAATATTTTAAAATAATTTCTTTGATCAGTAGGAATTTCTTCCCCTCCTCCATCATGCTCAGTTCAGATTGTGGCTATTGTTAGATAACTTTTAACTGGTTCCCCTTGGCAAGGGAAAGTAATCTTTCTATGGCAGTAGTTAGGGCTAGAAAGAGGCAGGGATCTTAAATTAACGCAGCCTGCAAGCTGTTAAAGGCCAATTTATCCACTGTTATTGCCTTTTTTACTGCGTTGCCATTTACAGGTAAGAGCTAATGTTTTATTTTAAGATGGTCTGAGTAAAGAACAGTTATGCTGGCTTAGATCACTTAGCTTGCTTAGTGGAGTGCTCTTGTGGGCAAGCATTGCGGTGTCAGTGGGGCTGGCCACGGGCTTGGCCTGGACCTGAGGATTAACTTCAACACAGCACATCTGCTGCAGTGGCTTCTTACGTTGTCTCGTGTGTGATCAACACAAAAACTGCTAACGACAAAAATCAGGAGGAGGCTGCAGGTCGAGGTGTGCTTGGAGTTGCTTGGATTCAGCTGAAAATCCCAACTTTATTTTCTTCATCTTGGAGGGTTTGTTTTGCAGGCAAAGTGAATTGTGAGTAATGATAATCAGATCAGCGTTAAGGAAGTCCGTTGTTTTTCCAGTAATTGCTCTGTGTATGCTGTAACAACTTCAGTGATTCTGTGCAGCTTTAAGCTTAATTCTTTGATTCTGTTTATTCCTGACTATTCAGCATATTAGTTTAATGCCAAATATATGTAGGCTAATTTATTTGAATACGATTCTCCCGTTAAAAATTCTAACGATGCATGCAATGCACCAAAAAACATCCAATAGTTGTGCTAGTTTTTCAGACTTCAATTAGACTTCAACTTGAAATGCATGGTGCTGTTTGTTTTCATACTTCTTGTCTGCTGTGTGTTTCAGAACGAATGAAATGATAAAAACTTGATATACAGCGTATTTGGGGTTTGTTGTGAGTATACCTTAAGATATTATGAATATTATACTATGAATAGTCCTTCAACTAAATTATATACTCTGTTACAGCATTCTGTCTAACTTGAAACAGTAACTTGGTATAAAATGCAGTAACAAGTTCATATAATTGGGGTATGGTTGCTCCTCCTGAAGGTGATGAAAGGGTTATGAAAGTGCTTTAATGCTAACCAGACCACAGAAGATGTCTGAACAACGTTTTCAAAATTCAGTTTGAATGAAAACCTTCTTTTCTTTCTGTTTTAAAAGCAGCAGAGATCTCAGAATTTTTTATCATGTTTCAACGTACTGTTTCATGAGGGGGGAGTCCTTAGTGGCCCTTTTGGGGCAGGGTAAGGGTTGGTGCAATATATTTATGCCACTGCTGATTAATTTTATTGTTTTCCCCTCTATTCTGTCGTGTAGCCGCCCTCAGAAGGTGTGTTTGTGTCCATTCCTGCCGATACATCCACTGAAAATCTCCACCTGCTTGTATATAATTCAGCATCCTGCAGAGGTGAGTAAAGATGCAAGAGGTCAGCTACCATCTTAGTGCAGCAAATGGTCTACAAGAGGAAGCAATCATGTTTTTAACACAGTAATTTTTCCTTTAAAATCAGAGAGCTGAGGTACCAGTTCATCCCAATTACGGTGACTTCTGAAAACATGCTTGACTTCCGTGGTTTTCATATACACAAGACATCTTTCTTCATTTGGATAATCCCATTAAATTTGGAGGTCTGCTTGGTGTGGCACAAACTGTTTCAGGAGGGAATCTTGATACAACACAGAATTATTCTCTTACAAATATGAATTAAGCAATGCATCTTGGTAGTGACTCGAAGTATTTAGATAATGGAAATCTATAGTTTAGTTTCAAAATAGTCTGTTTCTGTGATTTTGTTTGTTTGTTTTTGTTTTGTTTTGTTTTGTTTCACTTATTGAAGTGAAGCACATGAAAGAGCTACTGAAGGAACAGCTTTCTTTGCAGTTTCCTGGTAAAGGTACTTTTGCTTTTCAGAGACTCTGAGTAGCTTTAAAGTGTGTCCTGGACTGGACTTTATATACAATGCATCCTTTTATGATTTTGCCCATTTCATGCCTTCAGGGGTTTAATGGGCTCTTGATTTTTGATTTAGCTATTAGAGGCGTTTATACTGATGTTTTATTTTCTGCTAATAATGCAGTATTGTGCTGGATCACAAGTTTTGGAAAAAAAGAAGTAGCAAAATGTACCAGAGAGCCATGAACTGATATTTGAATTGTGTTGAACGTATTGTGCTGAAAAGTACTAGAACAAGTTTACACGGTCTTTCTAGATCCCCTGATCATCCTTCTGACATGCTATCTGCATTTTTCTTTAGTTAGGTTTAATTAGCAGCTTTCTGTTACAATAGAGTGCAACTGTTGCACAGGTATACGTTCATGGAAACAAGTGGTTAGAGCAGTGGTATCCAAATAATGAAGACATCAGAGCAGAAAAGATTAACTATCTGGCTGTAGAAGGGAACTTGGCTTGTAGGAGGCAAATCCAAACAAAAGCTGAAAAGCTAAGAAAATGGCTTATGATGACTTCATTTGATCACAAGTGATTCTTTTGATATGAGAATGGCAGAGGCATACTTGCTGAAGGGTAGGTTCCCTGTGCTGTAGCTGCTTCTAATCAAAACTCAGTCAGACTTCGAGGCAGATACACCTTTTGAATGTAGTAACAGCATCTGATCCTTCAGGCTGCCATGCCATTATAGAAGTACGTTTCAGAAGTATCATTAAACTAACCAAACAGAGCATGTATTTCTCCTGCTGTGCATCAGTGATGACTTTCATCCTCCACCTGTTTTGTTATTTATTGGGTTTTGCAGTTTCCAGTGCAGTAAGTAGACCACCAACTGTGGAGTGATTATTGCATTGTGACTTATATCTGGGTAAGAGGGTAAAGCATGAAAGTGAGAGGATTCCTGCTCCTCCACTGTCCTTCAATCCAGAAGGCATGCTGTTGGATACATTCACACAAATGTTAGGTGCTGTGAAAGAGAGTAGTCTCCTAATGCGTGGCAGCAAGGATTCCCTAAGATCCCAGGTTATGAATCTTACCATCCAGCATTCATCTTTGCATAATAGATCCATAGATTAATTCAAATTTGATTTGTGAAGATAATTCAGCGTTGCATGTCTAGGTGCAAATGTTTTTGGAATAGTGTTAGTGCACTACTGTTAATAATGAGAGTAATTTAAAAATAAAATAGATACAAACCAGGGATCCTAACCCTCTCAGCAGGAATAGTGGAGCAGTGAAGAGCATATTTGCCTAGTATGATTTCTGCTATTTTCTTCTTTCCACATACACGTGAATATAATAAATACAAATAGGTAAACTGCTTTTCTCATCTTTTTTCTCTCCCATGCCTTCATTTGCAGTCCTGATGGTCAGTGGCATGGTCAGGTGTGTACAAACTGCTGTGCAGCTTGTTCTTACCTCTGCCTTATTGTCCATGGAGTGATCTGCAGTGAAGCAGAGGCCACTGTATACTTTTTGGAGCCTGGGTGGTGGTTATAACAGGGCCCTTAGACTACTGCTTAGGTTGTTCTGTTTCTCTGCCTTCTTTCTTTCCAGAATTATAAGAATTTTCATTTTACTGCACCTGTGAAGAAAACGTGTATTTAGTGAGCTTGTATATGGATCTAATAACATTCTTTATTGAATGGTAAGAATAAAATACAATTTGCTAATTGTTTTACAAGTTCAGGAGAAAATGAAGTAAAGTGTATTTACTGCTTCAAATAAATGTTTTTATTAGTTAAAAATTTCATGGTAGAACGACCCTGCAGTGTTACCAAAAAATTTCATGAATTCCCATAAAAGGAAAAAAAGCAATCTAAAAGCAACTTCTTCAAACCTACTTGTATAGATATACTTCAGTTGTTAAATAATGATTAGGCAAAGAATTGTGCATTAAATTTATGATGCTGAGAAGAACAAAGGAGACAATAACTATTCTCTTTCAAAGCAGAAAATAGAAAATAGCTGATATGCTAACAGGCTGTATATGAAATAGCTAAATACAGGCATTTTTGTGATGTGAATTCTAAACAAATGGAACGTTATTTTAGAAGTAGTTTTGTTTAGCTGTTCTTAAGCTCCTTTTCTCTAACAATTCTTTCCAGTTTTGACTTCTGTATTATATCTTCTTGTAAACATAGATTGGTTTTTAGATTGGAAATGTGCAACTTTTTCCCTGTTGGTAAGAGAATGCATTTATTTGGTGAAAGGTAATTCTGAAACAATACAACATTGAAGAGAATGATTGAATGCCTTTCCCATGACTGATAAGCTTTTAAAATTTTTGCTTTTTAGAGATAAAGAATTAACTTTCTTCCAGTTCTTTCTTGCTGCTTTTAACATTTGTATGAATCAGGGTGTTTGTGATCTTGTACTGCCAATGGTGACTTATTCAGCTTTGTCAAGATAGTAATCAATGGTAGTTTGAAGGATATTTCTCCCTCGCTTTTCTTGCACTTCATTCACCAGATACTTCGATCTTCATCTGTCCCTAGGACACATCATACTGCTACAGCAGTGCAAAGTGGTGGTGCTTATAGTAAGACAGCTTACTCCTGTAACTCTGTGGTGGTTTATTTATACTTCACAGAATCAGTAGGTATGGAGCAGAAGAAGCAAAATTAGTGAAGGTTTTAGGCAACAGTGATGTAAAGATTCACAGAACTAATTTGAGAGCATTTTGATGATGTAAGGGCTATAGGTGGTTGCACGTTGGTACTTGTGGAGAGTAAGAGCCACAGAAATCATGAGCTGAACTAGTCAGGGCTATTACTTGTTTGCAAATACTGAACTGTTGACATATGACTCATATATATAAAAATGGATCAACTCCCCAGCTTTTTATTAATTAATCGCATGGCTTAGGGACTGAACTTTGGATTTTCAGTGTCTGAATTGTAAGACATTGAAATTGAGAATACATTAAGTGTTTTGGGTTTTTGTAATCCTAATGCAGTCTCTAGTGTCTAGACTTCTGCTAGGTTCAGCTAATGTACATCTTTGTTTCTCTTGTTACAAAAAATAAACTGAAACTTATGTTCATCTTTCAGTTTTCAGTGTTGCTTCCATTAAATTCAAGATAAACCTTTGTTCCCTCTTCTTTGCCAGGAAACACAAATTGACACATTCTCTCTACTCTTAACATTTACTGAAGATGTCCTAAAAATTCTAGCTCAATCTGCAATGCTTCTTGTCTAGATAACAATGAGTTACATTGTGTATGAAAACAAATTTCTCTGTTTAGTATGTAGATGGTTTGGTCCACCTGTCAGTTCTTCCCTCTTCCCTCTGTCTTGTGAAGCAGGCATTCCTTAGTCCAGCACAGCTCTCTTGCATGCTCTTTGAGATCTGGAGAGCCTCTGCTCCCCTCCCAGCCATGGCAATCTTCTCCTTATCTGCAACAAAGATGTAGGCAGATGCCTGCTCTGCACAGCCCGAATGGCAGGAGGTAGAGCACTCACAGCAGCTTCAGTGTTGTGCTACTATGCTATTGTGAACTGGTAACAGAGTGGAGATATTTATGTTTTACACCGTTTTGACTCACCTTTTGCTCATCTTTTTTTGCGTTTGTCTGTGAAAACGAAGCCCTCCCCTTGTTTTCCAGTGCAGAGAAATTAATGCTCCAACCTGTTACTTTGATGTTAACGCTGTTTTTGCCTACATTTTGTTATTATTCCATGTATGGTTGTTTTTTTTTTTTTTTTTGTACTGATAACCTAGCCCAAACTCTTGCTAATGGTCATAGTTTAGGACAAAATTAAATTCCTTGCTCTTGGTAAAAGCAATACGTATGAAACTGATTGTGTGTGTGTGTTACTTTATTGTTGGTTGTTCTCTGTGTGTAGTCAAAGATCTTGAAAGTAGATGGCAATATTAACAGTTCACGAAGCCCTCCTTGATTTCACTCAAAAGTGACTTTTCTTTTTTACAGGAAAGTCGGGTTTTAAGGACAGTGCCTTTGCTAACAGCTTGTCTCCCTCCAGACAAATGTAAAATTTTGGTTGGTCGGCGTTTTAGTGAAGACAGGTGAGCAGGACTGTTTATGCATTTTTCTGGGTTGCTTTAAATTACGAAGGTATTTCTTCCAGTATCTTTATTAATAGCAAGCAGTGTTCTTAATTTTTGTTTCTGGTCTATACATTCACTTTTGGTGACTTTGATTCCCAGTAAAATAAGCCAGTAAAATTTGGTGTGATGGCCTGAAACATTTAATATATCTTCCTCTACTTTGTAGCTTTTACTGTCTCAGTGTTTGTCAAGATTCTGTAGTGCAACACTTTCTCTCTCATAATGGGCTACTTTCCTTCCTTTTTCAGTTTTCTCTTTATGTGTACCATGTCACCAGTATTTCAAGTAGTAAGATGGCTCCTTCTTTCCTTGCTTTTTCAGTAAACTACAGTGCACTGAGTTTGTCAGCTCACTTCCTTCAGCTGTGGTGCTCCTGGTTCAAGCCTTCACTCTGCAACTCTTAGAAAGCTTTTTGCAATTAATTTCTGACCTGTTACTTGTGTTTCTTTCCATATTTGCTTTGTTTGACAAACCACTTGATGTCATTCAAATACAAGTAACATTTTGTGTTAATGTGTGTGACACTGTACTTAAGAAGGCAGCCCAGAGGTGAAAGCTTCTTAGAGAATGTATTTTCTTCAAATGCTTTTCCTTTTCTCTTATAATTAATTGCATGAAATCATACCTCTCAGATCTTTTTTTTTTTTTTTTTCTTTTTTCTTTTTAGTACTCTGAGATTTTGGACAATATTGGTCTCCTAGGTAATGTCTTTCATCTTCATTAGATGGAGCTAAATCTTAGAAACCAGTTCTTGGAACAAATGCTAATGACATTTTACTACGTACATTTTAATAAATGCAAACAAAAATCATGAATACTGATGAAGGAAATTAATTCTAAAATTGAGTTTAATCTTTGGAGAAAACTTCTTGTAAAGTTCACTGAACAAAAACATCAGAAGGTGATTCAGAATGCTGCTCCCATGCCTTTGTGCTGCCCGTATAGTAAGTAAAGTATGTTAGAAATATATTACTTTTCTATTAGTCTTCTATGATAATAACAATAATAATTATCTAAGAAGTTCCAGGCCACAGGGAGATTGTTCTCTCTTCCCATTAAACCTGAAAATGAAGCAGCTTTTCATACTGTTGTGTGCAGAGTGGAACACCATCAATGCAGTCTTGTTTCTAGTGAATATACTTAGAATTTTTTTTAGAAGTGATGATTACAGTTTTAAAGCTTCTTCAGGCTTGAATACTGAGATTTCCCTGACATAAAGGATCCTATTTAGGTCAGAATCACTTGTGAACATCTCAACCACCAGATAGTTTAAATAGATTCAGAATTATATTGTCCCTATGAGAAGGATGCTTTCTGCCACAAGACATTATAAAGATGGTGATTGAAATAAGTTTTCTTGAGATTAATTTGCATTTCGCAGATTTAATCTACAGTACTTCAAGGCTGTAAACCATTAGGAAGAATCTGCAGCATGCCTGCTTTGTGAGTGTGAGACTGCAGAAATTTGGAATGCTCATTCATTGAGTTCTTAGAATCACAGAATTGATTATGTCGGATTAAAGATACCCAGTCCAGCTCCCCAGCAATGAGCAGCCACAGCTCCATCAGGTGCTCAGAACCCAGTCCAACCTGACCGTCTCCAAGGACGGGGCATCCACTTCTTCCTTAAATCCAATCTAAATCTCCTCTCTTGTAGTTTGAAACCATTTCCCCTAGTTCTATCGTGGCAGATGCTGCTAAAGAATCAGTCTTGTTCTTTCTTATAACCTTCCCTTTAGATACTCAAAGGCCACTATAACATCTGCCTGGAGCCTTCTCTTCTCCCTGTTGAACAGCCCCAGTTCTCAGCCTGTCCTCATAGAATTTTATTCTCTTCAGCCTGGGAAGCATATTCCATTTTTACAACATGCCATTTCTACAGTTCTTTTGTTTTTCTTAGCTCTCTATTCAACTTTTCATTGTTTTATTCTGTATTCCTTACTTTTAAGCAGCACTAGTTGCTGGAATATCTGGCAAAAATGTTGTATCAATGTAGTTTTGTACGTGTTAGCATCCTGTCACGCTTCTTTCCCTGCTGTGGTGTGTTCTAGGAGTAGGCATCTGCAGATATAGGTAGAAACTTCTCAGTGTTTACAGTGAATGAGGAGGGCTGTACTGATTCCTTTGCTAACAGGACTCTTAAAAAGTCAAAATATGAGCTGCACTGCTGCTGTCTATGGCATATTAAGCTAAACAGTTTTTTTTCTTTCTTTTTTTTTTTCCCTTTACATAACACCCATGCTTTGTAAGTAACTTGTTAGTTGCTATATAAGCTCCTTAATCACCCTTGCCCGACATGGATGTACACTTTGTTATTTTGAGTGAGGAAAAAAAATCATAAATGTATGCCTACTGGTTAAAGCCTTCCATTTGCTTTTTTTGAAGTTCTGCTTTGACGCTTACATTGTCTGCAGCTTCCACCAGAAATGTGTAGGTTGGAAGGGAATAGAAACAATTAAGTCTGAGTGCACTGGTCTTGCATGTAAACAGAGCCTACAGATAGAGGAATAATAAGAAGTACACGTTGATGAAGAAGTAGTCTTCCTCTCTTTCAAAAGGTCAAGCATATTCCATGGAAACTGAAGTTTTCGCTATGACATGGCCAAGTAACATTCAGTGAAACACAAAAAGTTGATAGTCAGGGTTAGTCAGACCTGCCAAAACAGCATGGAGAACTCTGCTTAATTTCTACATTGCCAGTAATTTCAGTTATGATTATTCATTTCTGTTACAAGACTTTAGATTCATATTATTATTGCTGCAAAACACATGCATATGTGAATCAGTTATAATGTGGACAAAATGCATTTTACTAATACATTTGACCAGGGACTGTTCTAACTCCCTGTACCTTAGGTTTTCAGATCTCATTGAATCTGTGAATTGAATGCGTGGAAGTTAATTTATATTAATATCTCAATGTCTTATTCTGTGTTTATAAAATAAATGGATTTTTAACAGTTTGTAGTAATTGTAATGTAACTTAATCACTCATATTGGGAATGTTAGGAAGATGTTTCTATGACTTTTTAACTGTTGTATCCATTTTACTTTGCATATTTCCTGCTTAGAAGGACTGCTTATCTCATAGTTGTAAGCTGCTCTTTGCTTCCCATCTTTTTTTCACAGAATAGTGTATTTTCTTACCGACTTGACACATGTCATTCGTGTAGTTCTTCTTTTGGCTCGTCAGTATTCAAATTTACACTACATATCCATAACCATAGAATCACAGAAAACCATAGTATGGCTTAGGTTTGAAGAGACCTTGAAGCCCATCTAGTTCCAATCCCACTGCTGTTGGTAAGGTTGTCAGCCACTAGATCAGACTGCCCAAGGGCCCCATCCAGCCTGGCCTTGAACACCTGTAGGTCCAACAGCTGTTCTGAGTGACCTGTTTCAGTGCCTCACCACCCTTTGAATAAAGAATTTCTGCATAACGTCTAAGCTAAATCTCCTCTCTTTTAGTTTAAAGCCATTGCCCCTTGTCCTGACATGATTGGACTACGTAAAAAATTGATCTTCCTCCTGCTCCCTTCATCTACAGGAAGGGTGCAATGAGACCTTTTCTTTTCCAAGCTAAAGAAGCCCAGCTTCCTCAATCTTTCTTGATTGCAGAGCTGCTCCATCCCTCTGATCATCTGCATGGCCCTCCTCAGGGCCCACTCCGACATCTCCATGTCTTCATTACGTCTTGTGCCCCACTCCAACATTTCATGTGTTTCTGTGCTGAGGGCATTATAGTCATGTAACTACACTGTGGTTTCCAACTGCGGTGTATTTCCCATGCTGCATTCTTTGGTGTAGAGGCACTTCAGTTGGGCTATTGGCCACATTACCTCCTTGGAGGAGCCCTCCCATATGCAAACTTCCATGCAAACTGTGCAACCTTCTCCTCTGCCTTTCTTGGCAGGTTCATGTTAGAAATAAAAGATGTTTGTAGTTTTTTATTTGTGTTTCAATTCTTTAAGTTTTCTAGCAGCACAAATCCAGCACAAATCCCATTCTACTATCATTGCATCTGATTCTCTTACAAAACTCCTACTATTTTCACTAGCTACTACCTATCCAAATCCTTCATATTTGACCCTACCATTTATAGACAATTACTTACTTGGTGGTATCTCAAATTCTTCAGTACTTCATAGGGTCAATTTCTGGTTTATAGTGCTTCATCAAAGACTATTTTTATTGTGTTTATATATCTGTTTTAATATTTCTCCTTACTGAAGTTATATATAATCTTTCAAACTTAATATTCTTTCAGATTTCTGCATGCTTCAAAATTCCTCTGAGTACTGCTAAGCAGTTTCTTCCTTTCTGCTATTACTCAGTCCTCAGATGGTTTCCAGTTTATCAGTGTTCAAGATGGCGATGATCAGTTTGATCAGTCTCAAAGTTAGTTTTCAGTTCTCCATTTGTACAACTGACTTCTTAGACCATGATAGAATTTATTTTCTTTGCTCATCTTATTTTCTCCATCTTCAGTTCCGCTAGTTCCAGTTAACATTTGGAATTTTCGTTTAAATCAGCCCTGTGCATTTTGCAACCAACATTGTCACCACTCTTGTTTTATTTCTCAAAACAGGCTGATGTTTCTCCATTTATTTTACAGTTTTTTTCCTCAGTAATGATATAGTGTAATAGTGTGGCTTTTATTCATGATTTTTTTTGGCTTTCCTCTGTTCTACAAAAGTTACTTGTTTTGCCCCTCCCTTTTTTTCTAGCTATGATCTTTCATGTAGTAGCACTGTAGCATCTGATTTTTTTTTTGCCCTAGAATCATTTTCTCTTTTACCCTTTCTTCACATATTTATTTTCATTTTAGTATATCTTCTTTGTTTTTAATATTTTTGCACTATTTACTTTCCATTCCTGTATTACCACATTGGCTTCAAAATTCTGTTCTCTGGTTTTCTGTGTTGATTTCACAGGTGATTGTCTCTTTTCTCTGCATC